ATCTCTTCGCCTGCAAGACAGAAAGGCAGCGGCTTATTCCAGATAGTAACCTGTCACTATCCTTTCATAACACAGCTTTACTCTGCATCTAACCCTGTGCTGTCCCTGTCCCTGGGAGTGTTTAATGGGGGGACGGTGTAGAGGGAGCTTTACTCTGTATCTAACCCCCTGTCCTGGGAGCGTTTGATGGGGGACGGTGTAGAAGGAGCTTTACTCTGTATCTAACCCCCTGTCCCTGCGAGTGTCAGATGGTGAACGGTGTAGAGGAAGCTTTACTCTGTATCTAACCCCCTGTCCTGGGAGCGTTTGATGGGGAACGGTGTAGAAGGAGCTTTACTCTGTATCTAACCCCCTGTCCCTGGGAGTGTCAGATGGTGAATGGTGTAGAGGAAGCTTTACTCTGTATCTAACCCTGTGTTGTCCTGTCCTGGAGTGTCTGATGGGGGGAGGTGCGGGAGAAACAGTATAGAGGAAGCTTGACTCTGTATCTAACTCTGTGCTGTCCCTGTCCTGGGAGTGTTTGAAGGGGGACAGTGCAGAGGAAGCTTTACTCTGTATCTAAGCCCCTGTCCCTGGGAGTGTTTGATGGGGGGGACAGTGTAGAGAGAGCTTTACTCTGTATCTAACCCCCTGTCCTGGGAGTATTAGATGGGGGGGACAGTGCAGAGTGAGCTTTGCTCTGTATCTAACCCCCTGTCCCGTGCATGTTTGATGGGAGCACAGTGTCGAGACAGCTTTACTCTGTATCTAACCCCGTGCTGTCCTTGTCCCTATTAGCGTTTGATGGGGGGACATTGTAGAGGGAGCTTTACTCTGTATCTAACCCCATGCTGTCCCTGTCCTGGGAGTATTATATGGGGGGGGAACAGTGCAGAGGGAGCTTTACTCTGTATCTAACCCCCCTGTCCTGGGAGTGTTTGATGGGAGCACAGTGTAGAGCGAGCTTTACTCTGTATCTAACCCTGTGCTGTCCCTGTCCTGGGAGTATTAGATGGGGCGGACAGTGCAGAGGGAGCTTTACTCTGTAAATAACCCCCTGTCCTGGGAGTATTAGATGGGGGGGGACAGTGCCGAGGGAGCTTTACTCTATATCTAATGCCCCCTGTCCTGGGAGTATTATATTGGAGGGGGGACAGTGCAGAGAGAGCTTTACTCTATATCTAACCCCATGTCCTGGGAGTGTTTGAAGGGAGCACAGTGTAGAAGCAGCTTTACTCTGTCCCTAGCTGTGGAGTGCTGACACGGTGGAACTCCTAAGACATCTTCCCAAGTGCCTCCTGACAGGAAGTGTTCCCTTTTTAGCAAAAGGAAGACCGTCGCAAGGATAAAAGGGACTGCACTGAGTGGAAGGAAGTGTCGCTTTAAGTGCCTAGGAGACAGTAAATGGGCTGGGAGAGCACCGAAGAGTCTGGTCCCAGGAGGCGCAGAGCACAGGGAGAGATAAGGAAAATTTCCGGCGCGGCTACATCGCAGGAAAGTGATAAAACTGAGTCTGAGACTAGTCCTGTTGCTGTGGGACTCTCTCACGTTGCGCCCCTGCAAACTAAAAATACAGGCTGGCAGGATCACAGCATCAGCTGCAGAGGTTGAAGCCTACAATTTAGCCGGGCCAGACCCAGGGAAACATTCCTCATCAATTGGCGGCAGGGGACACTGAGAGAAAGGTGGGGATGAGGACGTTCTCGCCTTCAGGCAGGGCTGGATTCGGACACCACCCTCTCTCGCCCACATCAACTAACAGTCAGGCTAACCACACCGCATTCTGAAAAAATATATAACCCACATCTCAGTCAGGGGCTCTTAACGCACCGCACAATCGAACATGGAATCTTTGTAGGGGGACCCCAGGCCGAGCGTGCATTTACAGGGAGACTCCGGGGTGGGAGGGGGAGGTGGTGTGTCAGTATTTACAGGGAGTACATGATGGCGGGGGTGGGAATCCAACAAGGCCCCTGCTTACTTTTGATTTTCTCCTGCTTGTTTGCCCATTCCTGCCGCAGCTCCTCCCTCAGACGGTTCTCCTCCTCCTGAAACAGCAAAGGCAAAGGGGGTGACAGTGTCCTCCTGTCAGCGCACGGAGGGCAGGCAATAGGTGGGCAACAATGTAGGCATCCCCTTGGCGCCGACCCTCCGACGGCGCCCGCTCCCTCGGCGCTGGGAGGGGATGGGGGAAGAGGCAGGTACCAGTGTCAGCTCTGGATTGTCAGAGGGGGGGCTTGGGCCTAGAAACCTCTAAGCGAGAGGGGCAAGTGAGTGGGTGGGGGATGGGAGGGAGCGCGTGGCGTGCTGTGTGGACTCAGTTATCCTCTTTGCGGTCCTAGTTGGCAGGTCTCAGACAGGGGGCGGCTTGTCTGTACGAAGGGACGGACCTGGAAGGCATTTTAGTCCTCAGTCCTGAACACCGACAGTGGGGGGGCGGGGGCGCGGCTCAGCTCCAGCCCAGGCCTGATTCTGGTAGCTGCGTCGTGTAATCGGAAGCCACTGGACTTGGTTTCAGACAGGCTCCGGTCCCGTGGGCTCCTGCATCTGTGCAGCAGCTGCTGGCTCCAGCAATGCTTTCCAGATGGACAGGCGGCCACCCTCGCGGGATTTTACTTCTCCACGGTCAGCACATCTGCCGGCAGATCTACCAAGCCGAGAGTGCCAGAGGGAGGCTGGGCGGCTGAGAGGGAGGGAGAACGAGAGACAGAGAGAGAGAGGGGAAGAACGAGAGAGGTAGCGAGAGGGAGAACGAGAGAGATAGCGTGAAGGGGAACGAGGGAGAGCGAGAGGGGGAACGAGGGAGAGCGAGAGGGGGAACAAGGGAGAGCGAGAGGGGGAACAAGGGAGAGCGAGAGGACGAGAGAGAAAGGGAGAGAGAGAGGGAGAACAAGACAGAGACAGAGAGAGGGAGGGAGAACGAGCGAGAGGGAGGGAGAACGAGAGAGAGGGAGGGAGAATGAGAGAGAGGGAGGGAGAGAACGAGAGAGAGAGGGAGAGAACGAGAGAGAGGGAGAGAACGAGAGAGAGGGAGGGAGAACGAGAGAGAGAGAACGAGAGAGAGAGAGGGAAAACGAGAGAGGGAGAGGCAGAACGAGTGGGGGAAAGGGGGAACGAGAGGGGGAGAGGGAGAGAGAGAGGGGAAGGGGGAGAACGAGAGGGGAAGGGGGAGAACGAGAGAGGGAGAGGGCGAGGGAGAACGATAGAGGGAGAGGGAGAACGATAGAGGGAGAGGGAGAACGAGACAGAGGGAGGGAGAACAAGAGAGAGTGAGGGAGAACGAGGGAGAGGGGGAGAACAAGAGAGGGAGGGGGCGAACGAGAGAGGGAGGGGGCGAACGAGAGAGGGAGAACGAGATACGGAGAACAAGATAGGGAGAGGGAGAACGAGAGAGGGAGAGGGAGAACGAGAGAGGGAGAAGGAGAACGCGAGAGGGAGAAGGAGAACGCGAGAGGGAGTGGGAGAATGAGAGAGGGGAGGCAAAACGAGGGAGAGGCAAAACAAGGGAAAGGGAAAACGAGGGAGAGGGAAAACGAGGGAGCACGAGAGAGTGAACGAGAGGGAGGGAGAACGAGAGAGAACCAGAGAGAGAGAGGGAGAGACAGAACAAGAGAAAACGAGAGAGAGAGAGCAAGGGATGACCTTATAGACTATGAGGGGCATGGATAAAATGAAAGGCAGGTGTCTTTTCCCCCAGGGTGGGGGATTTCAAGGCTGGGGGGGTTGGGTGTGGGGAGGGCATATTTTTACAGTGAGAGGAGAAAGATTTATATCGGACTTTTTTTTTGACACAGAGTGGTTTGTGTGTGGAATGAACTTCTAGAGGAAGTGGTGGATGTGGGTACAGTTACAACGTTTAAAAGCCATTTGGATAAGTACATGGATAGGAAAGGTTTGGAGGGAATGATGGGCCAGGAGCAGGCAGGTATGGGACTGGTTTAGTTTGGGAACTATGACTCTAAGTTGACCCCATCCCCCAAACCCAACTCCTCCAAATACCAAAAGAATCGAGAGTGGTCACAGCATTGTTATGGCACCGTTATCTCAACGCCATTAAATCGGGGAGACGAGCAGTGACCAGCCGATGGCTTTTTTTTCGAAATGGCCCAGGAGTTACCACGCAGAGGCAGTGGGGAGCCACGTCCTCTCCCAGCACTTAGCATCATCGATGTTCCAGTGCCAGGACTGACTCAAAGGGTGCCCGAGTTTCTGGGAAAGGCCTCCACTTCTCCACGTGCATTTGAATGACGGCGATCGAAGCGGCAACCCTTGAACCAGGAGGCAATGCCGCCTGGCCACAAACACTCTGCACTGGAGGGGGATGCTCGCTTATCGTCAGTTGAGAAATGGCCCGCCTTACCTCCCGGTCCCTGTCTGGCAAAAAGCTTGTGTCCACATCTGGATTTTTCCCAAGCTTCCTTCTCTTGATAGGAACTTCTGGAATTGAAAAGGAGTGTTTTCAAAAAAATAATCACAACTTAAAAACTGGACTGAGGAAAACAGAAGCAGGACAGTGTAATGCCAACCCGCCGATGGCAGCCGCTCCCTCGGCGCCGACCGTCCGACGGCGCCCGCTCCCTTGGTGCCGACCCTCCGACAGCGCCCACTCCCCCTCCGTGCCGACCCTCCGACAGCGCCTGCTTCCCCTTGGCGCTGACCCTCCGACAGTGCCCGCTCCCCCTCGGCGCCGACCCTCCGACAGCGCCCGCTCCCTCAATAACAGAAGGCTCAAGGACATAAGAGGGTCCAGTAAAAAGATCTAAAAATCACACTGTGACTCTCACCTAATGCCAGGTCCTCATCCTCACTTTTCAACTCGTCTCCTGTTTCGTCATCCTCTTCCACATCATCCTCGTCATCCTCTTCCTCGTCCAGGGTGAAGGATAAGCTGGCTATTTTCCTCTTCTCCTCCTTCTTGCGCTCCCTCTCTTTCTGTTTCTCCAGCTTGCTGCAGTGGCAAGTGAGGAGGACAATGTAAAAGACCACGCATCCGCTCAAGAGGGTGGCGTGGACGGGGAAGAATGGGAGCAGGAGGAGGCTGGGAAGGCAGGGGCCAGAAAACAGACACAGGAGATAAAATAGAGACAAAGAAAACAGGAGAAGAGCAAAGGAGAGAGAGAGAAGAGAGAAGAGAAAAGGGGCAGGTGGGGAGGGGAGAGAGAGAGAGTGAGAGAGAAAGGGAAAGAGAGAGGGGAGGGGAGAGAGATACAAGGAGAGAAGGAGACAGAGCAGAAGCGAGAGAGAAAGAGAAGAGAGTGATAAAAGGAGGGGGAGAAATAGTGTGTGTGTGAGATGGGGTTTGGAGGTGGCGGAGAAAGGGTTAATGTGATGGGGATGGAACAGTGGGGCGAGGTTGGCTGGGAAAGGACAGTGGGAGGACAGTCGGGAGAGGGACAGCAGGAAGAGTGGGCATAAGCTTGCCACTTTTCAGAAGGATGGCTGAGCCAGTGGGGTTGGCGGGGGAGGGCGGGGGTGCAGTCTGAAGGCAAGGTCAGACAGCTCGCTGGGAGAGGCGTCCGAAGCAGCGGGGGGTGTGTGTGCTCTAACACACCAGCAGCGACACAGATCAGGCCACAAGACTGGGGGGTGGGTGGGTAACACACAGTCTCTCAGCAGAAAGCAGGAGCGGATGGTTTGGTCTGAAATCACTCTGAAGTCACTCCTGACTGTCGCTCAATCTCGGCCAGGCACACCGCCACCTGTAGCTGTACCCACTGTGGTAAAGAGGTAACCTGCATTTCTCTGTCACCTACTCCCAGACTGCAAACTGCTCTCAGTTACCTCGCTCTGTCGCCTTGGCGTCTCTGGCCCCTTCACCCCATCTGCCCGCTCTCGCCCTCTCTCTGTCTCCCGCCGTGTGGGCTTCACATGGAAACCGAACACTCCTGAGGATCACTCACTGATGAAGACTTGGACGTACAATATAGTGGTCCTCAGCCCCAAACTTGTAGCCCTCCTACAGATAGCGTCAAACCACAAGAAACAGACCCTTTGGCCCAACAAGTCCATGCCGACCAGATATCCTGCACTGATCTAGTCCCATTTGCCAGCATTTAGCCCCTATCCCTCTAAACCCTTCCTATCCATGTCCCCATCCAGATGCCTTTTAAATGCTGTCATTGTACCAGCCCCCACCCACTTCCTCTGGCAGCTTGTTCCATACAAGCACCACCTCTGCGTGGAAAAGTTGCCCCTTAGGTCCCTTTTAAATCTTTCACCTTAAACCTATGCCTTTGTAGTTTTGGACTCCCCCTACCCTGAGGGAAAAGACCTTGACTATTCATCCTATCCATGCCCCTCATGATTTTATAAACCTCTATAAGGTCACCCCCTTAGCATCCGACGCTCCGGGGAAAATAGCCCCCAGCCTCTCCCTGTCGCTCAAACCCTCCAACATCCTTTTCTGAACCCTTACAAGTTTCCCAACATCCTTCCTATAGCAGGGAGACCAGAACTGAATGCAGAATTCCAAAAACGGCCTCACCAATACAGCAGCAACATGACCCTCCCAACTCCTACACTCAATGCACTGACCACTAAAGGCAACCATACCAAACACCTTCTTCACCGCCCTGTCTACCTGCCACGCCACTTTCAAGGAACTATGTACGTGTCCCCCAAGGTCTCTCTGCTCAGCAACACTCCCCCAAGGCCCTGCTGTTAAATAGGTGCATCCTGCCCAGGACTGTCTCACCGAAGTACAACACCTCGCACTTCAGCTCCGTCTATTGACACATTGGGACGGTCGTATGGCATTACAGGTCGGTCGCGCAACACAAACGAAAGGAAGCAACGGCGAACGAAAGCCAAGACATTGCCGGAAGCTGGAGTTCGGGCTGAGAGCGAAGGGCAGAGTGACCGGGGCGAGAGGGGCGGAATGACGGAAGGGATACTCACAGCTGCAGCTCTTTGGACTGTGCCTTCTTGGCGAGTTGTTTCTCCCGCTCCTTCACGAGGGCTTCCTGCTTCGCCTTCATGTCATTCAGGGTCACCAGGCCTGCGGGGAACACGCGCCGTCAGGGCTGAGCACCGGTGCTGGGAGGCGCTACCGCACAGACACACACACTCTCACACACAGATAGACTCTCTCTCACACACACACACACTCTCTCATATACACACAGACTCTCTCTCACACAGACACACACATACTTTCTCTCTCTCTCTCACACACACACACCCCGACTCTCTCTCTCACACACACACACCGACTCTCTCTCTCTCACTCACAC